GGCCGGGTGTTAGCTTGAGCCCTGACGCAGATTATGACCTTGGCCGGCAGTCGGGGGAGGCCTCATTAGCGGCCCTCGTTGGGACAGCCCAGGAAAAAGTGTGCTAATTACCTCGCTAACAATGTCCTTGCTCAGTGGGCTTACAGCAGAGCCTCTGCCCGAGGATAATAACCTGCCTGAACTGCCAGGGCGAAGGCTACAGCACGGATCTTCTGGGTGGATTAACGCTCTGCCGAAGGCGGGGGGATATGGGGGCTGAGGAGACTTATGTGGCTAGAGCCGAGTAGCCCTTTAATGTAAAGGTTAAGTGCACACGTCAATCATTTACGAGGCAGAATGTCATCGTTTCACTCACGGTAAACTTGAAAAGTGATCGAAATGCTTAATATTTGAAAAAGACCTGAATAATGCATACATCTGATTGCTGATGCAAAAGTAGACTCATTGATGTTCTCATTTATTTGAAATGTTCTGCTGTTGCTGTATTCTAATGAGTTTTTTCCAGTCAGCGTATTGGGTGAAATCAATGCAGTTGTCACGATGTGTATTGAAAGGCTCGGATTTGTTTTTCCTTCTTCTTTTCCTTCTGAAAATTCTTGCCTCAGCCATCATAGTAATGACCTGAGAGCATGCCAGGCTCAAAACGTTTGTTTTTCTCACTATGGATATTCTGACTGTCGAGACGTCCCTGGTTAATTCATATAAAATCTATAATAATGTAGAATTGTTTAAACAGTGAATAGATTTTTGGTCCACTGGACAACATTCGTAATCAGTTGACAGGTTTAACAGTGGTGCAGTGCACTGAAATACTCTTCTCAGAATTAGTTGTGTGTGTTTTTCATTTTTCACTAGTCCAGAAAAAGTGAAGTGAGGACTAATGAAGGCTACGTTTATTCTATATTCCTAAAGGGCTCATATCATACATTCCTAAGGGTTTTATTTTTTCTTTTATAACCTGTATGTAGTCTTATGTAACAACAGCTATAGTCCTTATATTTTACATGGCCGTTTTCCACACTCTCTGTATTCCTTACAATAAACTGTGTTTAAAATGTCCTGAGCCTTTAAGACTGATATATCATCACTGTCAGAAACCTCATACATTAAAAAGGTAACTTCACAGGAGAAGGAATAAACATTCTTAACTTTCACGTTAAAGGAACAAGATTGTATTTAATGTCTTTTTTTTTTTAATTTTATTTATAATTTTACATTTATAACATAAACAGAAACATTTTGAATACAGTCCCATATCCCACCCCAATCCAACATCCAGACAAAAAAATAAATAAATAAAAAAATAAATAAAAGGAGGGAGAGGATGAAAGAAAAACATAACTAAGGTCCCTTTAACTTGTCTAAAACTTATTCCACATCAAATGAAAATGTCTCTGAGCTTTTTTATCACAGCATCTCAGTCTCTCCATCTGGACAATGTGTGTCATCTCAGACAGCCATCTTTTAAAACAAGGGGCTGAGGATGATTTCCAGTTAAGAAGAATGACCTTTTTGGCAGCGACCATACTGGTCATTAGAACCTGCTGCTGAATTTGGGAAAAATCAACCGTAGACTCAGAATAGCCACAACAACAGTTAAAAAAAAGATATTTTATCAAATCATGTAAGACTGGACAGAACCAAAACTGATGAGCCAAGATCTGCAATCTCACTCCTGTCACAAGTATTTGATGTCATTTTTAACCATTTCTGTTGCTCTGTTTGTCAAAAATTTTGACACTTTTCAAATTATGAAAAAAAGCTAATCAAAATGGAGATTCACGGTTTTGTTTTGACAGCGATGATATGTCCGTTCTGTTTGAGTGCCGTGTATGCTGTCTCAATCGAAAAGCCATCCAGGCTGAAACACTCCTTATAACTTCAGCGTGAGTGGGGGGTAGCTAAACTGCTTTAGACTGAAAAGGTGAATTTTCAGTCATGTGCATTTGAATAGCCCTGGTTAAGTTACATGTTTTATTGATTTTCTAAGTGAGAATGAGTTAGCACACATTTTCTACAGAGAGAACACTTAAATATGACATTCCTCTGAGAGGTGTAGCACACAATTTCTATTTATTTTCCAAGTTTGGAATGTTGGAAAGGCCATGTTCACACAGGCCATGTTTCTTTATTCGTTCAATATGTTATATTCAGCAAAAAAAAAAAACAGTAAATGTGCATTAAAGTATGTGGAAGTGTGTTCTCTGTAGGGGATGCGTTAACTTATTTTCACTTGGAAAATCAACAGAACGTGTATTTTGTCTCAAACCTTTGCATAGGACTGTATGACAAAAAAAACTGAAATAAATGGGCTGTCTTGCTTACTTGCTGTATATGGAACTTTAACAATGCTTACATACTACATCCAACACATATTTTTTTAAAAAAAGTGGAAAATTAGGCCTTCCGTCATAAGGGCCCTTTAATTCATGGTTAAATGTGATAGGAGCCTCCAGCTTATAAAACTTCTGAAGTTCTAGGGAAGTACAGTGATATACAACATATGGTTGTGAGAGTTTTATTGTCCAGTAAATGGTTGTAAGAACATTAATGTAGTTAAATGTGGAGCATTTTGTTTGAAGTGTACTTAGATAAGAGTACCTTTCTCTTTAAAACATCTAAGTAAAGGTCTTGAACAATAATCCAATTCTGGCATTTAATGGCATTTATTATCTTCAAATATTCACCAAAATTTGTTTGCATGTCCTAAATAGCACCTGTTCTGCTTTATGCTAATAAGAGTTTCACTGTTGACAAAAATGAGCACTGCAGTCCAGCACATCATGACCAATAAGACTCTTCTGCCAAGGTTTTAAACTCTAACTGAAAGATGAATTGTCAGGCGGGCTTGGTGAGGGAGCAGAAATTCCTTTGCCTGTGCCGTACTGTCTGTAGCCTCGCTGAAAGTGTGACAGGCTGACATTACGGAGGCACAGCCTGTAATCTGAGCGCTGTAAAACCAGCATTTCAGCTGCCACAAACAGCGGGGCCACTGGCCTGCCACGGCAAAATGGTGGCGGACGAGACGGGCTGCCGTAGCCGACGACAGCCAGTTAAAAACGCCGCGGAGACCTCCCTCATGGCGAGCGTGGGCCGCGAGCCTGGCAGCCACGGAGAGAGGGGTACGCGTCTGGTGCTGGCTGAATTCTAATCGGGTATTCCACATCGTTATACTGCATAAGGAGATCAGAGCTTTAATCAGATTGCTTTGAAATACGTTCATGACATACTTCCCCCCACCTCGTCCATCCGCTGTCCACGGGCCCATCAGTGGCCCAGGCACAGCTAATGATGCCCTGGGTTAATGATGGGGATGAGAGGGGGAGGGTGGATGAATGGAAGGATGGACGTGTCCAGTCCTAATCTGTACGACCGTACCCTTTGGCCTTGAAGGATGTACTGGGCAGAGGTCTGGGTGGCAGAACGAGGCGAGGCTGTGCGGCCGATCTCGGGTCAGTTGGGTGCCCTAAGCTGTCGTTCTCTTGCTCAGTAAAGCAGCTCTATGGTGTACACTGTTAACATGAAATGGCTTGGACATACAGTTCTAGGAAACCTTTGGATTACAACGGAACCTTGGCATTACAGCCGTGTGCAAAAGTTTGGGCACGCCTAGTCAAATGCCATGTTTTGTTGATTTAATAAGTGAAAATTAGTGAACATCCTCTACAGAGAACACACTTCTGCACATTTTAATGCACAATCACTGTTAATTTGCTAAATTTAACATATTGGAATAATAGTAAAGCATAAAGTGTGGCTTGTGCAAAAGTTATGGCACATTTTATATGTATTGTTTGTATTGTATTATGTATTGTTTCAAACTGAAATATTTTCAGAAAAAATGCCATATTAAAGTTAAATTCCAGGAAAAGGATGTGTCAACAATTTTTAGTGTTAACAAAACATATAATTTGACTGGGGGTGTTCAGACCTTTGCATAAGATGGTATGTGGGGGGTCTTTAAACTCTAACAAAGTTCTTCACTTGCAAACTTGTTTACAAACATGAGTCTTTAAAGAACCATCCATTAAAAAGTTCTTTAGGAAATAATAAGTGGTTCTTTTACACTTTTATATTTTTGGTATTTTTGGTAAAATTCATGTCAATTTTCCATCTAAAACACTGAATGCCAGTACATACAGTCTAGAAAATGGACACTGTTGAGAGGTCTGATGGTGGCCCTTTCTGTTATTCCCAAAGCCGTGTTCGGCAGATGTTTATATGGTCCCTTATCAGTTTGCCTTTGTGCAGTGACAGCTACCTCCGATGGTTTATCCCCTGCTCACTGCCTGCGTCTTCCAATTGATTTCAGCGGGGTGATGCTAAAAACCGTAATCACTTCATTTAAGCTCCTAACCTGCTTAGGAGCCCTGAATGTGTTGATTAGAACATCTTAAGGTTGAAGATGAGACAGGATGAGACTCAAAATTGCTTGATGCAGGAATCTGTCATTGCCTATTACACGCTTTAGATCCAAAAGACAATGGGCACGGTGGCAGGGAGAGGGAGAAATGCAGAAGGTTTCTGCAGGAGCAGAAGAAGCCTGTTAGGCAAAACCTCAGCACCCTGCAGGACAGACGAGAGGGCTTTGGGTGTTCGGTCTGTGGTGTATGTATGGTGTTTTGTTCTATGTGTGAAGGTGTTGGCTGTGGGGTTGTTGCGATATCGCTTTGCGTTGTGTGTGTTTGTGTGCTGGCAGTGAAGCTACGGTGACTCTTACGCAGTTGTTGCTCCTCTGAGGTGGATCGATTCTGTGTTTTTTGAGCTTCACAAATCGATTAGTTGATTATTATGATGTAAAAAGCATTTAAAGCTATATTTCCTGTGCATGCGGTGTGATTTTCTGTTGCTGTGGTCAGTGTGTGAGCAAGGTGACGCTTTGTTATGTTTGAGAGATGTGTGAGATTAGAATTCCCCATCGCCACTCACCATCTCTCTCTCTTTCTTTCTTTTCTCTGTCTCTCTCTCTCTCTCTCTCTCTCTCTCCTTCTCTTTCTCAGTAGTCGTGACAGTGACCTCTCAACGATCATCTCCAACCTGCACCACACCCGACAGCACGGCATGCCTGAGGGCCAGCCCTGCTCTGACATCACCCTCGCCTCCGCACACTCAGGTAGGACACACCTAGAGCTGAGTTCTCTCAGCCTCATAACTCTTAGCGTGCTGGTAATGCTCCACCCCCCGTCTGTTGAGCTGAACCCTTTTTTTTTGTTCTTGTAATGATTAAACCTCTTTAGTGTTAGAATGTTAATTTGCTGTAATTTGCTTGATTGGCCACTGTAAGCTCATTACTCATCCCATTGTGTCCATCTTTAAGTGCATTCCTTAATGCTCCCTCCTCCTTCTCTTAAACCCACTGTTAAACAAGCGTGTGCGCTAAATAGCTTCATTTGCCATTAATCCAGATCTGCAGCGGAACAAGGCAGTACATTATGCATAAATGTAATTGCTAATTGGGCTACACTGTCAAACTTTCAAATGATACCAGCATCCATGACTGAGTTATTTGTGATATGTATCTGAATATTTAAAGAAGGAATAAGCTGTGCTGGCTTCTTTGATTTATGTTGCTGTCAGATCAAAACCTTATAACTCAATTTTTTATTTTTATTTATTTATTTTTATCTTTTACATCGTTTGATGACAGTAGCTGCCTTTTACATTGTGTGAACATTGATGAAACTGTAGAAATAGTCCAAAAATACGTACATTAAAAGGGATTCCACTGATTTTACAACTTTATTTCTGCATGATTCAATGGTTGAGATGTAAAACAAAGTCATACAGAGTGGTTTGACATGAAATGATTCATTGTAGGGGAACTTAGTGACACTGATGTCTTTACAGTGGTGGTGATAGGAACCAGAGGTCAGATGTCTGCAACACACATAAAGCCATTTACCACCCATAACCACCGGTGAACTTACACATCTTCTGAGTTTGTATATCTGACGCTGATGATTGTAATAAATCTGCAAATTAAGTTTTCTTAATGACAGACTTTTTGAAAAATCTGTTGAATTTCCTGTTAACTCACAAAAAAATTAATAAGGTGTCTTATTAGGGTTATAAGGGTCTTATAAGGGTCTCTTAGTAAGTTACCATTTTAGAGAAGGTAGCAAAGATAAGAAATTCTCTAAACACGTAGAACATCTGTATTGAATTAAAATTTAATACTAGAATCGTTCAAAGAGTTGTAGTGACGTCTGTACATTAAACTTCTTCTTGAGGGTCGTGGACTGAAGTTCAGTGCGCATAACCATATGTGCATCAATACACTTAAAATCCTATTATACACAATAAGTCCCCCGTTATCACAGTCAGCACATCATGCCCCCACATCTCTGCAGTCTGGAGCTAATTGCCCCAAAGATTCAAAGGACAGATGAAATCATCCTTATGGGCCGAGTGTTTGGACTGGACAGCAGATCTAACGGGGCGGATTTTCCAAAAGGCGAGTGTAATCTCTCATAAGCTTAATTGAGAAATCTCAATTAACTGGAATCTTAATTGCGGAGGACACAAAGGGATGAGCTGCCCTTGCTGGGGCTGAGGACCGAAATCTGTCAGTTTGAGCATTAAAGGGCGATTTAAGAGGCTCTTTAAGCGGCTCGCTCCGTGTCTGTAAACAAGTCCAATCCGATCACTCGCTGGTCTAATTCTGTCTGCCAGTGAAATTAGAGAGCTTTTCGTCCCTGGGCCGGGTCAAGGGTCAGAGAAGGGCAGGGCAGAGACAGAGGAGGGGGGAGAGGCTGAGGTCAGTGTAGGCGACAGGGAACAGGTATAGCGCATGACCATAGAAAAAAAACAGAAAAACTGCAGATAGGGCTCAGGAGCAGTGAAGGACTGTTATGGGTCAGAATCCCACTCCTTTAAGATCTGCTGCAAAAGAGATCTCTGACATCACAACCATTCACAATGCGGACGCTTTAGGAAATGTTTGAGGGCAAAACTCGGATTTCACCAGTTACTGGTACTATTTAGTACACAGTACTAAATAGTAGACACAGTAATGTTGACACAGTAATGGACTGTTCATTGAGCTTGCTGGACTGAAGCTCATTAGTTTTTATAAGGATGTTGATATAATACAAATATATACACCAAGATTTATGTTGTAATAATTTCTTATCAAGAAGTGCTGTATTTCAATAAATCCAAAGCAAACCAATATTTTACTTTATGAATTTAATAAGTGAGTACTTACTTTAGACCGCTGGGAGAGGCTCCAGCCCCCCCGTGAAGGATAAGCGGCTTAGAGAAATGTGTGTGTTTGTGTGAGTGCTTACTTTATTGTATTTTATCACTTATCTAATATACATCTTTTTACTTTCTTACATTCGTTATTGTCTCTGTGAAACAATTAACAGATTCCATTGAAAGTGCAGATTTTAAACTTCATGTTTGTGCTTATAAACAGAAGATAAGAAAAAACAATCAAAAAGAAGTGCAATATATAATTAAGTATGTAATTACCTAATAATTATGTCAAAATGAAAGTAGTAATGTGTCTCCAGAATAGAGAAAAAAACATTTTTAACTTTAGTTTAAGGTGATGAAACTTTATTCCAAGTAATTACACACATTGTAAATGGCAGCTTTCGTTTTCAGGT